ATGTGTCAATCTAACTCTTCAGGTTTAAGAAGATTGAACAGGGGCAGCTGTTGTACCCCAAAAATTTCCCTCCCATTTTCTTCAAAAAACATTCTTCTAAGGCTCTCAAGTACTCAAGGCTACTCAAGAATTGACCAGTCAATTCTCCTCCTAAGCAAGGGGTCCAAAACTAGGGTCTTGTGTTTTTTAAGGAAGTTTGGTTTGCAAAGGTATCAAGTGATTTTCATGATTCTCCATAGGTTTTCAACAATATTCATGTCAAATTTTCAAGTCTTGCATCACAAGTTTGCTCAATCAATGACTCAGATGATTGAAAATCAACTGTATTTGATAAAAAGTCAAAAATGGTCAACATACACTCAAACTTCAAAAAATTTGGTCAACATCAACATTTTGAATTGATGTTTATCATTTGATTAAGATTTGATCATGATTCCTCAAGGAAAGTCCTCAAATCATCAAAAGTCAAAAGTTGCCAAATTAGGATTTCCTTAGGAGAAGTCAACTGAACTTTGACCAAGCATAACTTTCACATGCTTCATCAACTTTTCCCCAACCAAAGTCCATTTTGAAGGAAATTCAATTCTCTACAACTTTGTATATGTATGCTTAAGTACAAAAAGTGCTTCATTTGAGAGATATGAGCTCATACATTACAGGTCATTTCAAAAGTCAACAAAAAGACACTTTTTGTAAAGGCAACTTACATCAAGATAAAGTCTCCAAATATAAAAATGATCAAAATAGAAATTTAAGAAGACATCTTGAGCATTTAAAAAAGTTCAAGATCATCTTCAAAGTATGAAATTTGAGAGAGTTATGACCATTGTAAATTGGGAAATTTTGGTAAAATGCATGAAATGCAAAGTGAACAAACTTAAAATTCTAGACTAATGGGCCTAACTTTTGATGTTCAAACATGTTCACAATGTGTTAGAAGACCTCTAAATCCATTAGTATATATTTTATGATTTTTATTTCTTTTATTTAATTTTTTATTCATTTAAATGCAAGTAAATCAAATAAAATATAAAATCATTGGGCCAAGGTGCATGGGCTTTTGATTTCAATCACATGGAGGCCCAAGAACACATGACAAACATGCCAAAACCGCGAAAACATGTTGGGAACAAGAATCTTCAAGATTGAAATGTTTTTTAATAATTTTGGAAAGATTTCAATATGTTTTTTTACAATGAATTGTGACATGATGGTACAAGATTCTTGTCTTGTTCTTGTGCCATTTCATTCCTCTATAAATACATGAAATACTCAAGTGCAAATGACACACAAGCTGTTGCCTCAAAAACCACTTCAAAAATCTCTCAAAATTCTCAAGAAAAGTGCAAATTCGTATCACACCATCCAACCACTCTAAAGCCAAATGAAGTGTCCAGACCTCTTCCTGAAGTCCTCAAGAACACATCCAGCCCAAGAACCAGAAGATTTGGTGCCTGGAACTTGTGCTTCAATCTCCACCAGTCTGTGTTTATTTTCTTTGAATTCATTCTTAAATTCCATACATTATTAATGTGTTTGATGAGCTCAAATGTATTCAGGATATGATTTAGGACGAATTTGACGTATCACATGCAAGCTTTGATGCATAAATCTCTATATGCCATTTTTAAGGCATACAAATATGTTTGCTTCAGATCTCTTTTTACAGACACATTCAAGAGAAAAGAACCCCCACCATCGAATTCGTATTCCTTGAATTAAGAGGGAGAGTCCCATTAACTTTTCAATTTTCTTATTTTTCTTATTTTTGCTTTTGCTTAATTAATTTAATTACCTTTTTAATTAGACTATAAAAAATAAAAACAAAACTAATTTTTCTTTAAAAATATTTAGACTTAGATTTTTTCATTAATTAATTTGTATTTAAAAATAATTAGACATTAGTTTTTTTTTATTATTATTAACTTAATTTTCTTAAAAAAGAAAAAAATAGAAATAATTAGGTTTTAATTATTTTATTATCACTTTAATTATTTTCTAAATGATAAAACATCAAAAAATATTTTCCTAACACTTAGAAATTTTATTTAGGTTTTAAATATCTTCTTCTAATTTCTTTTCTCTTTGCTATTTAAATTCTAGAAAACAAATATATAGGTCGCATGGTTGATTTTGTAATAACTTACTTTATTTTTCCGCATTTTTCCTTATTATGTAACTGCTCATGGGATGTAATAACCTAGATTTATTTTCCCGCACTTTTACTTTCCGCGCCTATATTTTGTATGTCTTGTATGTATATATAACTGTTAGCTAAATATGATTGTATGACAAGATAATAATCAAACGCTAGAAAACCTAATCAAGACAAATTAACTGAAAATAAATCACTTTTCACACACGCACCTCTAGGGTAACTCCACTTGTTGCCTTTGGAAAACAATCATGTCCCTCGAACGTAGGGATACCATTAGCAAAGACTCTCGATTAAAAATCATCATAAAGATCATAGTCCCTCGATGATCCTTCAATGTTGCCTTCGGTAAATGATCTTGTTCCTCGATGTTGCCTATGAATAGGGGTGTTCAAATCCAAACCAATCCAAATAAAAAACCGAAAATTAATCCAAAAAACCGAAAACTGCAAAAAAACCGAAATTCATTGGATGTGTTTGAATGTCATTTTATGAAAACTGATCGGTTGAGATCGAATTTCGGATGAATTTTTCAAAATCGATCCAAACCAAATCGAACCGCATACATATATTTTTATACTTATTTACTTTTTATTAGTATGATATGTTATGTGAATTTATTATTAGATGATAATAATTTTTTTAATAATATTTATTAGTTTGGTATAATCTATTTATTCTTATTATTTCAACCATAATCGATCACTCTCATTTGATAATATTAACTTTTAATATATTATATGTTATATATTATGTCAAATCTATGATTTATTAGTAGTTTTATAATATTAATAAAAATATAATGTGTAATTTGGATATCCAAAAACCGATCTAAATTAAATCGCATAAAATTGAATCGGATCAGATTGGATTTTTTTTAATATATCATCCAAAACTGAATCGAATTGCAAGTGAATTTATCTTTGGATCAGATGAGTTTTTGCTTTAAAATCGATCCAAACCGAACCGCGAATACCCCTACCTATGAATACATGATGATAGTTCCTTCGAATTGCTAAATGTATCCTTATATGTTGCCTTTACGACTGTACGATGACCCACGCCCGTCCCTCAAATATCCAACGATGGGGCTTCCTACTAACTAATAGTAGGATAGTACTATCTAAAGGAAGAGGAAAAAAACAAAAATACTTTTGAGTGGGTAGATAGTTCTTAATCGCTTGCTCGCGAACATTTCAAAACATTTTTCACACAATGACACTTTTCCAACAAATATTTTCAAAATAAACATTTTGTATGCATTCTCAACGATACGAGAATCATTACAAGATTGTCACACTTAGACATTTTCAAAATATTTTCAAACACACATTCACAAAGCATTTTCAAAAGTGAGCTAGTGATTAAGAGCCCGTAGGTAACTACGGATGAAAAGGGTGCTAACACATTCCCTTTTCATAACCTACCCCCTTACTCAGAAAACTCTGAAATGTCTTTCCTGTTCTTTTCACCCATTCCTTTATTGGATAAAAGAAAAGTCGGTGGCGACTCTTGTTATCCGCAATATTTATGATAAAACACAAAATCAAAAGTAAGTTCTCCCACCGTATTACAATGATCTATGACTTTTCTACGATTTTTCATGTTCTACGAATTTTGTAGATTTTTCTAATATAGCAACTTATCCATTTCATGATTTGCGATACTATTACAACATGAGTTTCAAGTTCTGGTTTTATTTTACTGCCTCTATTGCTCACTGACTTTGTTTTACCTGCTTCTCATATTAATATACTCAAACATGTACAAAATGTCAAAACCTCATATCTTTATTGGTGACTTGAAACAAATGATCAAGATATGGAAGATGTCCATTCGTATTGTTAATTTTTGGACTGTTAGAGAGCGTAATGGCCAACAACATTCCTATCTGTCTGTAATTAGGATATTTTATAATTTTAGTAAAATTAACAATTGATTTATCATAAAATTTGTTTTCCATCTCCCAGGCCACTATATCATATTACCTATTTTATTTTAAATAATAATAATCTTTATTTGAGAGGAAAAATTCATACTTTTATTACAAACAAAAAATAATGTTACTAATCCAATTTAAGAAGTATGTATTATTTTACTTTCTATCTTAAAACATATTTTAATTACCATTCATTGACATCAAATAGAAAATTTTAAATATTATATATTGATATCAAATTTTTAAATAATAAAATATTTTAATTCACGGATCATTATCAATATAATATATATTTTATTTTAATCAATTCAATTTATATGATAATAGTTTATTTTATGATTAAGAAACTCATTTTAAAATTATATATATATATATATATATATATATATATATATATATATATATATATATATATATATATATATATATATATATATATATATATATATATATATATATATATATATATATTTTATCAAAATGAATTTATCCGTGCAGTTGTATGAGTATTATACTAGTTATTAATAAATTAGTCAAGCAATAAAAGAAAATCTTAAAAAATATCTCTCAATTTTAAAATAACGATCATTTTATCAAATAAAATTTATTTTAAAATAATTATCATTTTCAATAATTATTATTTTTTCAATTCTAATTTTTAATTATTATTTATAAAAATATTATTTTAGAATATATATTTATTATTTTTAAATTTTAAATATAACTTTATTACATTTAGTTATATTAAATTTATTTTTTAATTACCATATTTTTAACCTATGTTTTTAGAAGACACATGTGAGCATGACCCAAACATTAGTCTGAAATGAAAATCTAGCAAAATCCCAAAAAAATCTAGAACACAAGAAAAGCATCAAGGAGTGTAAGGCTCTAGTGTATAACCCTATGCAGTATCTCAAATTCACAACGTTGCTACTATTACCACCACCCTTGAATCTCTCTCACCGTTCTCTCAACCACACGAAACGCTTCTCCTCTTCATCTTCTTCAACTGTTTCCCCATGGTCCGGTCTCCATTCATGGAGGAACAGTCCTCTCAACGAGAATCGCAACTGGGGTCCACATGGTCCTCACCCCGCACCACAACCCGACCTCAACAACTCCCCTTTCGGTGAAGCTTCTTCATTGGCTGAGTTTGGTTCCATTGTTCTTTCTACCACCGACCCTCTCACCAAGTCCCATCTCTCCCACGTCGCTTACTCCCTCTGGCGCCGCCATAATCTTCCTCTTGGCCTCTCTGATCCTCCATCTCGACCTGCCCGACCCGAGAAACCGTTACTGGTTCGTTCTTTCTTTCGCCCACCACCTGTTTGTTTCAATTCCTGAATTGCTTATTTCATTACCCATTTTCATTTTTCATTATCACAAAACCCCGTTATGAAAATTTTGCATTTTTCATTCTCTTTGGTGCTGGTTTCTATACTTAATTGATTCAGTTTTATTAGACATGATTTTCCAGTTAAATAAACGTAGTGATTTATGTCAATTGGGTTCAGTTTTATTTTGAATTTAGATAGGACTTGCTTGTGTTGCAAGATACTGGTAAACTTTGTAAGATGTATAGTGAACTCGGTTTCTTTGATTTTAGGTTTCTCCTAGGGAAATTCCCGCTCCTAAGAATTCGGGTTTGCCTCTGAATGCTTATTTGCTTCATAATCTAGCACATGTGGAGCTCAATGCAATTGATTTGGCTTGGGATACTGTTGTTCGATTTTCTCCCTATAGTGGTCTTCTCGGGGAGGGGTTCTTTGCGGATTTTGCTCATGTTGCTGATGATGAGAGTCGCCACTTCTCTTGGTGTTCACAGAGGCTTGCTGAACTGGGTTTCAAGTAAGGGTAGTTTAGTTGTTACTTTGATATATGGCCAAAACTAGTTGATTGTGGTGCTTTTTTTATTTTATTTTTGCTTATCTTTTCTAAAATAGATATGGAGATATGCCAGCTCACAATTTGCTATGGAGGGAATGTGAGAAATCATCGGACAGTGTTGCTGCACGTTTGGCAGTGATCCCACTAGTCCAGGTAACTCTCTCTGGGCATGCCTTCAATCTTCCATTTAGGTCTCGAGTAGAGGCTTTCCACCACATTGTGGTCGTAGGCATCATTTAAAGTAAAAAATGCTTAGTAAATATGATGATACAGCTATTTTCATGGGTTTGCAATTGATTTTTGTTTGAGTGTATCAGTTATAAAATATGTAGCGAGTGGAAATACTTGTACTGATTTGATAATGAGTGGTACTTTATGTTTTATATGCTGCTGATACGTTTAGACATCATTGTCAATTTGAATAATATTTTCCAGACAATTGTGAGTTGAAATTGATGTCTACAACTGCAAAAATTGTCTGGGAAGTGTGTATTTTGGTGAAGGTTTGTAGAGGACTCATATACAACCTGATTATATAGGGCTCATTGATCAACTACTTGTTTTCTATGTTTGTTTGAATTTTAATATAAGATGTGATGTTTTGAATTTGGTTAAGACTTTTTTGATTAAGCCTTGTGCTTTGATATTTGATTTTATGAATCTTTTATGGTACTCTGTTATTTGTTTAGTTTTTTCATTAAATACATGTTTTATAGTTATTATCATATAATTAGTCTAAAAAATAGTCAAATAACAGTTATCTCGCTATCTCATTTTTGGGGTCGACTGCTCCGCTCCGCTATTTGAGATTGATAACTCTGTTTTGGTTATTCTTAGAGAGTCTTTGAATTCCCCTCCATTGGTAGGGAGAAAGATAGCTTTGAATATTAATGTAGTGACTAGAGAGTTATCTAGTGTCAAAGGGGAGGGTTCCTTTGGGGGTAGCCTTGAGTTCAAGGTTATCATCGTTATCATCTTCATCTTCATCGAATACCTTTTGTGTCTTCTCTTTCAATCCTATTATCTCAATCAATTGATAGTAATAGAAAGATCTATGTAATAGAGATTCAACAAAGTTTTACGATGTCGTCATAGAAAGATATTCAAAGAATTCTTCTTTTTCTCAATTTTGTTGATCAATCTTTTTCTAGGTAGAATTATTCTCTTGTTTTTCAATTTTTCCTAGTTTTGGAATTCTTTCCATATATCAGAAAAAATATTCCTAACAGAGACAAATAGATAAGCTTTGAATTATGTAATGCTGACCTGATATTCTAAATGTACATATTTATTGTGCTTATAGGAGGCTAGAGGACTTGATGCTGGACCACGTTTGGTGCAAAAATTAGTTGGCTTTGGAGATAATAGGACATCTAAAATTGTGGCTAGAATTGCTGAAGAGGAAGTTGCACATGTAGCAGTGGGGCTTTGCTGGTTTCTTTCTGTCTGCCAAAAAATGGGCCACACCCCAGACTCCACTTTTAAAGGTTGGGAACCCTATTTAAAAGCAAATAAACTATCAATTTAGTCTCTAAAGTATCATTACTCTTTTTCATGTTTAATCCGTAAAGTATATACATATAATAAATAGTCTTAGAATATATGAAATTGGTCATGTTAATCTCTTACATTTTAATAGTATGGACTAAATTAACAAATTGTATTTACTTTAAGGACTAATTATATTTATGTACTTTAGAGACTAAATTAGAGCAAGAGTGATATTTCATGGATTGAATTAATGGTTTATTCATTTAAGAACAATTTATCTGCTCCCATACCATCACACTGAAGGTTATCAAGCTCAACATGAGATTTTTCTCAAACCATGCAGATTTGCTCAAGGAATACAACGTGGAACTAAAAGGTCCTTTCAATTATGCGGCTCGAGAGGAAGCTGGCATTCCCCGTGATTGGTAAGAAACTATATATAGTTGTGGTTGGTTTTCTTGTCTGTATCTAAGTTTCAGGCTCATGCAATATGACATAATTGAAAATTTCCATCCTACTGATATATCATATTAATCTTTTACAAATTTTAACTGCTTAGTTTCTCCTGTCTAGGTATGATGCTCCATCAACAAGCAATCCAGAAAAGAAAGACAAAGAGGACGATAAAAAACACCTCTCTGAAGTAAGTGTGACAATCTTCTTGGTGCCTGTAACTCTGTATAAAGGCTACTTGTGTCGTTCCCTCCTATGACAATTATGGGTCCGTCCTGGCCTGTAATTTTTTGTACTAATCCGAACTGTTCTATCTTTTGATTTAATATTGATGCATATGGATGTGGTGTTACAGGTTTATGAGAGGGTAGCTTCCATCATTGCTATGGAAAGAGAGAATTTAAGTTTGACAAGGCCACCTGAATGATCATGGCAGAGATAATGAGCACATTTTGTCTTCAACTGGAAAGTTATTGGCTGATATAGGAACCTGTCTTCCCAACAGCCAACAAGCCAAAGAGTTTGGTGATGCAATTCTTTCATATGCAAAGTTTTCAACTTTGACTGCTAGCGCTGATGCAAGTTCCAAATTCCATTTGTCCATGCATCAACTATTGCTGAGAAGCTTGACCCAAAGGGAATGGCAAAATTATTGTTTACTTTGCGTAGATATATTACACCATTTGTCACCTGTTAGCATAAACACCGATGCAATGTACATACACAAAATTTATAGCAACAAATCCAATGAGACTGAAATAAATCATCATAGTTATCTTATTATTTTTTAGTGCCTTGAATGACTCAAGTAACCCTCATGCCTTCAAATATTTGTTGCATTATTTATGCGCAAAAGCTCTTTACTATCTCGAATTATAAGTTGATTTGTAAAAAGGTTTATCTAAAATTATAAGTTATTTTAAAATTTCAATAAAATATTAATATTTATTTATTAATCATATTATTTTACTATTTATTATTATTTTTTTCAATCCTGTACATTTTTTTTTATAATATCTTTGTTTCATAATGGAGAAGTAATAGAATATGAATTTGAACAAAGCATTATTGACCAATTGACCAATATAATCTTTTAAAGTATAAAAGAAAAATATTTTAAATATGGGTCATAGGAAACTTTATTGAATTGTTAAATTCATATAGTTTAAAAAAAATTATAAATGTTTTCTTATCACGTAATATAAACATAGTATAGTGATAGTAATATATTAATACCCTCTAAATACGTGGTATAGTAATTGTATCACCAACTGTCTCTATTAGGGAAAGATAGAAAAATAAAACTTTTCATAAAAAAGAAAAGTTTATAATATTCAAAACTTTGTTATTTTATTGACTTTAATGAATTAATTCAATCTCAAGAAAGAAAAAAAATATAACGTTCCTTCCCTGGCAAATTAATTGTGCTAGCTGTGTTTATCTGTTGTCAAAGTGCATAGTTTGCTTTGTCTTAAAGCCTTCATAAATTAAATCATCACAAAACGTATCACACTTGGCTTTCCTAAAAAAACAACAAAAGAGTCAGAACAAGAATCCTCAACTTCCTCCTACCTCTTGTTCTTGTTTTTGTTCCTCTTTTCTCCGTCTTTTCATTACCTTTCTGAGAGAAAACCAGAAAACTAAAAATTCACAGAAACTATGTGTAATTCAAATGGTGAGTGCAGACCCTTAGGTTTTCTCTTGGGTCTACCCTTTGCTTTTCTCTGCCTCATCATCTCAATCATCGGTATCATTGTATGGATCGTTGGGTAAGTATAAACCTATTCTTCATCATCATCATCATCATCATAATCGATCTTTCTCTATGATCAATTTCCTGTAAAATTACTATGTGATTTCAATTTCTGTGATATGGGTTTGATTCTAATTGAATGAAAATATCAAAAAGACTATAACTTTTTGGTTCATTCTATTTTTTGCAGGTTGACACTGACATGTATATGTCCCTGCTGTTTGTGCTTGACAGTAATTGTGGAACTTGCTTTGGAATTGGTGAAGGCTCCACTTCATGTTATGGAATGGTTCACATCTAAGATCCCATGTTGAAAATTCTTTTACTTTACCAATTGTATCATACTGTAGGTTTCTTTAGAATTGTGTATGTTTCTTTGGTTCTTGTTGCAATTCTTTTTCTTCTTTTGGTTTAGTATTTTTCAAGTTCTTGATTTAACTATGTTTGGATTGATTTGTTCGAGTATATATCTACCAGAATAAAAAGTATTAGTGAGATTATTTAGAGAATTTTACATACAAATTTCAAGTTCTTGATTGTTGTTTTGACTGATATGATTTTGAGTTCAGATATATTGTTATTAGTATTGTACTTTATTAGCACTGAAATCAACTTTATTGTGCCTGTGACGCCTCAATTGAACTCTATCTTGGAAAAGAGGAAGTCATATTCAACTTTTTTTTATAGAATTTAGATGTAATTTCAATTTTTAAGAATCTTTCCTTCCATTATTTAAAAGGGTCAATTTGTAAACTATATAAATTATCAATCGATTTAACAATACAATTTAGTTAATAGTCGATTGATAGTCAATTATACTCTACACCGACCACCAGTCTTGCATTGTGGTAGTTGAGACGACAATTTAATTGGTCTATTGATCCTTTAAATCAGACAAATTATTAAAACCTATAGTGTGGATTCTTAGATCCATAGTAATTGATTTTCATTTAATTGAAATTGGTTACAAAAGTAGTTACAACACTAGCAAAGTGTGACCGGCTATAGTAGGTGGCTGTATGATGAACTGGAAGATGCTAGTCATTAGAATAACTAACTCTATGGGTTAGTTGTGTTGGTTCTTAACTTCTAAACAATAACAAGTGGCAGGGAACTTGTAAGCATTGAGTTTAGTTAGTAGAGTCTGAACCCAAATTAGTTCAAGAGAAACATGAGCAAGGCTTAAGGCTTAAGTATTCAACTTTTTTACTAAATTTAGCCATAAATTTGTTGAAAGTTTGTGTCAAAAAGATTGTGTTGAAGTGTGGAAGCAGTTTGTTACACACAAATTTGATTTAGATCTAAAATAGATATATTTGATTTAGGTCTAAAATAGATAGATTTGATTTAGTTCAAAAATATGTATTTTGAGCTTTTATAGTTTGGGCTTTGGCTTAGAGAAAAAGCTAACCTAAATCTATAAATAGAGGGAGTAACCCCTATTTTTTAATCAAGTTGTATTCACAGAATTTGCAATTGTAAGTGAATAAGAAGTTTTCCATAGTTTGTGGGCAGAAAAAAATTCTGTAGAAAATCATTGTCTTTCTTTCATATTTTTCATCATTATTGTGTTGTAATAACAATCTTGTTCATCAAGATTGATAAAAATTCATCATAGGAATTGGTGGATTTCCAACATCTGATATCAAGAGCTTCTGTTGACCGATCAAGGGAAGAAGAAGAAAATCAATGGCAATGAATTATGCAAGTGGAAATATTCCATCAAATCTTCTGATTCTTAAAGGTGATAACTATGAAAATTGGTGCAAACAAATGAAGGTTATATTCTGTTTTCAAGGTCTTTAGAAACTTATAAAATATGGATTAAAACTACTTGTTGAAGACGCTTCAGAAAAGAAAGAGGCAGAATACAAAGAATTGAAGAAGAAGAGTTATAAAGCTCTCTTTATAATTTATCAATGTGTCAGCTTAGACAATTTTGAAAAGGTTAGTGATGTTGAATCTGCAAAAGAAGCCTGAGAAATTCTGAAGAAATCGTTTGGAGGCGCTGAGAAGGTGAAAGAGTTGAGGTTATAAACTCACAAAAGGACGTATGAATTGCTTCAGATGAAAGATAGCGAGAATATATCTGATTTCTTCACTAGGATTACGAAACTAGTGAATCAAATCAAAGTTTGCGGAGAGACGTTAACAACAAGAGTTTTTGTTTCAAAGATCTTGAGATCTTTGGCTCCGAAGTTCGACCATGTGGTAGTTGCCATAGAAGAGTCGAAGGATATGTCATCTTTGTCAAAGGAAAAGCTTCAAGGGACGCTTGAATCTTATGAACAAAGAATGACTGAAAGTGCTGTAGGCAAGTGGAAGAGTGATGTGGCTTTACAGGCGCAGACATCAAGAGACAAGAAAGGCAAGGGAAAGTGGTTCGACAATAAAGATAGAGGTGGCTACAACAATTTGACTGGTAGAGGAAACCAACACGAAGAAAATGTGTCGAATTAGAGAAGATCATACCAAGGCAATTGAAGAGGTGGTGTTGCAATTAATAGAAGAGGTGGTGGCCGAAAACCTGACAAGAGTCACATTCAGTGTTTAAATTGTCTGAAGTATGATCATTATTCTATTGATTGTCTAGAAAAGCGAAAGAATCAAGAAAGTGATGCAAAGTTTGCAAAGTATGAAGAAGAAGAGATGTTGTTGATGGTCACAACAAGAGATGAAGAAAAATTCAAGGATTAATGGTACTTGAATTCAGGATTCTCATCACACATGTCTGGAAGGAAAGATTGGTTTGTCAACCTAAAACCCTCAATGAAGAACATGCTGAAATTTGCGAATGATAATACTCTAGCAGCTGAATGTATTGAAGATGTTATGATTATGAGGAAAGATGACAAGAGATCAGTAATTTCCAATGTGTCGTATCTACCGTGTATGAAGAGCAATTTGCTTAGTATATGACAGTTGGTCGAAAAGAACTACAAAGTTTCGGCCGAAGACAAGATAATGAGAGTCGTCAACGCAAATGGAAGATTAATCTTGAAGGCTCATATGTATAACACCCCAATTAAATTAGAATTGTTTTTAATTAAATAATTAGAGGATGCAATGAATTAGTGGATTTTATAATGTGATGTGATGCCTTTTTTGGGAATTAGATATCTTAAAATTATTGAAGTTGAGATTATAGGGATGCATGACTAAAAGTGTAGAATCATGGGGTGTATGGTATAATATAGTTTAGTATTATTATTACTATTACTATTACTATTATTATTAATATTATTATTATTACTATTATTATTACTACTACTACTACTATTATTATTATTACTACTATTATTATTATTACTATTTTTTTTAATCAAAAATTTATTAATTCAAAAATACTCAATACAAGGCGATCGCTAGTATCCAGCCCATAAAGCAACAAGAGAAACAAAACCTATAGCTTGAGGTAATAAAAGGTTAGTTATATGTGATCTAAGCTTAGGACTAGTCCACCCTCTATAAACAACCACATTAATAATATTCTCAATATTTTTATTACTCCCATTAAGACCAAAGCACACATCATTACGAAATCTCCATAACTCATAGAGAGTTTCAGCAAAGGCCATTCTCAGTAAATCATATCTCCACCCTTTCCCATTAAAGTGCATTAAAATCCAATTCAACTCCTCATCCCAAGTACAAGGGCCATGCTGTATCCTAAG